ATCTTCTCCGCTACTGCCAGTGTTGTTGGCACAGCTTGGAACATCTCCAGGCTCACATGCTGGCTTTGGCCACAAAAAAAGCAACCACGAAGCCACGGTCCCTGCATGGGAGCAGGGAAATCCAGGGGCAGGGCAGGGCTGGAGCAGAGCTACGCCAGCTCCTGGAGCAAACATCGCAGCCTGGCGCTGCCCTGATGGGCTAGCAGTGTGTCTGTGGCCATCCTGCCCTGCGTGGCACTTGGATTTAATTTTCTTTTTCCTATTCCCACAGACAATTCACCACTAAGTGCAAAAAGGAAAGGGAGATGCTGAAGTTAAGCACAAAGCAGCAGCTGAACACAGTTTAGGAATCGGCAGCATTAGGCTGATGTTCACATGCCAGATAGACGTGGCTCCAGAAATGCAACGACTTCTAATGCCCCACATTTGGGGTATTTAAAACAAGAAAAATACATCTTTATGAACTTTATTGAAATCAGCCCCCAGCTCCCACTGCAAGCAGATAAGCAGCACAGAGTGGGGGCTGGCAACAATAAGCAGAACTCCCCCTCCCGACCATCAGAGTCGCATTTCCACAAGCAGGAGATCAAAAGCCCTTCAGCGCAGCAGAGCTCCTCTGTGCCACCGCTGTAGTGCCTGGGAGAGGATGCAAATGCTACCAGCGCTTTGTGTTTCCCTGCTTTAGGGATGTTCAGCATACAGTAAAACATCCCGACATGCCCAGATCCAGCCTTTCATGTACCAGATAATGCAAAGGAAGGCGGATTGGGGTGAAGGCAGTTCGGCTGCATCTGCCCACCCCTTCTCCACCCAGCCATCCTCCTGGAGCACCACGCAATGCCTCCGAGATGCCCAGCCCTCGCCTGCATTGGGATGAAGCTTCCCAATATGCATGGAGAGCCCTGGGGAGGGCCAGTGGGGTGGGAAGGGATGAAGAGAACCAACCTCCACTTAAGAGGAGAGTGAGCTAAAAGCATTCCTGCGCAACGGGGAACAATCCTGGAGCGGTCCATGGACCAGCTGGGAAGGGCTGGCAGAGCCAGGTGGATGTGACAGCGCAGAGGCAGGGAGCACTGGGCCCTAGCAAGGCAGCAGAAGCTGGGAGGAAAGGAAATTATTTGCCTATCGTTCCCGTCACAGCCAAGCCCTCCAAGGCATTTGCATTCATATGCATCAGAGGAACCAGAATTTGACACCAAATGCCCAAGGTGCAGAATAAATTCTTTGTCTGCGCTGAGGGATCTGCCAAAGAAAGGAGCAGGGTGCTCCTCGTGGTGTCCTGCTCCTGTTTATCAGCAGGAGCGTTGGTTCGCTCCCGTGCTTGGTGCAAAGCCGAGTGATTCACGCACGGGCTCCCCCTCAGTGCCTGCTACCAGGGATTGTTCAGCTGCCGGTTGTGCTCAGTGAATAAGCTGCTATCCGGCACAAGAGTCACATTATGTATTAGGTTTGTGGGTTGTTTTTTTTTTTTTTTTTTTTTTTTTTTTTTTTTTTTTTCTGAATACTCATCAATGAACAATAGTCAGCAAGTGAGCAATCTGCCAGGGCACGGGATGATGCGGCGTGCATCTCTCATCTACCTTCGCATTTAGCTCCTTGAGGCAGACACTGCCTTTGTGCTTTGCAAAGCTGAGGACAGCGTGTGCGTAGATGCAGCACAACGCCTGCTGCTTTACTCAGCCTCTCCACTAACACAGTTGACCTGCTTGTTGTATGGCTCCAGCTTTTTTTTTTTTCCCCCTTATTATTTTGTTGTTGTTATGCTGAAGTACAGGGCACAAACAAGTACCAGTTGGCTGTTTGCTAACATTTTGCTATGAGAGAGCAAGTGGCTCTGTAGCAGTGTCAGAACAGAACCGAATAAAATAAAGCAACCAGGAGAGTTTCGGTGATGTCAGTGGAATGACAGCAGGGCCAGGTCTGACTCTGCTTTCCCCGCAGAGCCTCCGGTTCCAGTCGCACCCAACAGACCCAGCAAGCCCCCGAGTGCTCTGAAAACAAGACCCCTCACTGCTCTGACACGAGGAGGCTCCTGTGCAGAGCCCCACGCTCCACCCAACATCACCACAGTGCCCAGCAGCAAAGGAAGGAGGTTCTGAATCGATCATTATTCCATGGGAATGGGAAAATCTAGATGTGTCCATGCCAGACAGACGCTACCTGCCTCCTCCAGCAGCTCAGGCACTGCTCGTAACCTCGGTGAGCCCCACATTGGATCAGGTTTCTGCCAGGAAGAAGCTCCTTTCCTCACTGCCTCTCATTACCAGGCCCAACCGTTTGTTTAGTCTTCTCCTCCACATTACCTCCAGGGGGGTTGGAACCAGGTGATGGTTAAGATCCCTTCCAACCCCAGCCGTTCTGTGATTACCAGGTCTGTAAGGCAAGCATTAGCTCTGCTCGACTCATCAGAAGAGCTCCCAAGCCAAACAGGGCTCTCAGCCTGTCCTGGGGGGCACTGAGACATCCAGTAACAGAATGACTGCCTGGAAAAAAAATACTGTACAAAAGTAATAATTAAAAAATAATTAAAAAAAAAAAAAGTCAGTGCAGAAGAGGTAAACAGCACAACCTACTTGAAAAGTCTTCACTGTGGCAGCAATGCAGCATCAGCCTCGGCCACCCTCCTCCTCCCAAAGGGATGGGACAAGGGTGACCACGGAAGGTCCCCCCCCTGCTCCTCGAGGCTGCAGGACACCTCTGGAACATCACCGGCAAACAGTGGGCATGAGGTCCCAGCTCGAGGCAGGGAGAGGGCACACTGGCAGCCCCCCTGAGCCGGGGGGGACGCTGCTGAAACTCCTTCACCTCTCCTTCCCAGCCCCAGAGCAGGGGGGGGCACAGCAGCCGTGACAGACGGCTGTCAGGAGCCACCACACGCTTCCCTTTCTCCAAGGCAGAAACTTTGCCAACGTCACTAGCCTTCCAGGAGGGAAATGGAAAGGCTCATTAGAAAGAAAACTCATTCTGACAATCACAAAAATCGGAATCCATTTAAAATTCAAATTATGCAAATCCAAGCAATCTGTACGTGCAGACCCGTCACATGCCAGCAGCGGGACTGCAGACATGCCACCGGCGACACGGCTCGGGGAAATCCGTCCTGCACCAGGGGACGGCTCCTAAGGGTGGGCCCCAGGCACAACTTTAGGGGCTCCCCTCATCACCAGCAGAGAAGGGAAAAGATCCTACAGCCCCGCAGGCACAGGGATGCAAGCCCCGAGACAGCTCAGGCTGTCAGCACGGGAAGAGTGAAGCTGGGAATTTAAGGCTATGAGCTGGGTAAGTGCTACAGCCCTGAAAAATGAGCCAAGCTTTAAATTGGGACTTTCAGGGGAGGTCCCAGGTGAGCAGCTGCAGAAAAGACAGATCACATTCTCTCCTCTAAGTGCTCTGCTGTGCATGAGGAGGGCAGTGCACACCTGGCCCAAATTCCTCCCCAGGGCAGAGCAGGCATCATACTGGGGGTGAGGGCTGAGGATAAGCCTGGGCAAAACCACACCGACACCAGCACGGAAAGGCACGAGCAGAGCTTGGGAGGCCACAGAGCCCTGTGCCAGCCCACCTCTGCTTCGAGAAACCTTCCCCACTTGGCAGGACCTTCACTTTGAACCTGAAACGCTGTCTGTCCAGCTGCATGGGGGTGCCCAGCCCTTTCAGAAAGCCCTGCTCGCGCCCTGTAAGGTAGGGTGAGCCTGATTTTCTCAGCAGGTCTAACAAGGCCACAGCCCATGGCTGAGCCTACGGCAACAACAGCCTTCAGCTATTAAAACTACCCAGAAATGACACACCAAGGAAAAAGAAATCTACAAAACCCCTGCTCTGCTCTTTGATGGACAGCAGTACTCAGCTCCACGGGTGCACCACGGAGAGCTAAAGGTCCCCAAAAGTGACTGGCAGAAACCCTCACGAAGTCAGAGGCCAAAGAGAGGGACCTGCAGACAACGCTCAGAGCTGCCAGAGCACAGGCAGGCGGGCTGCAAATCTGGGCTGAAATCCCGAGAAATCAGGTATCTGCTCCTTACCCCACAGCACGACTGCCTCATCCAAAACACCTCTGATTCTTTGGGCAGCTCCTCGGATGCCCCGTCCCGCTGCTGCTCGTTTCCTTCCTGGGATGCTGCTGCTGCTTTGCACACCCGCAGAGATGGGTCCCAGGGGCCGCTCACAGCGCCGAGGTCTCAGCCAGCTCCCCAAAACACCCTGCCACGGGCAGGCACCAGCAGCCACAACCAAGATCCCTGCCCAGGGAGGATGGGATTTCCTCTAGGATATAGGAAACTCAGCAGCTTCGGGAGCGGGGGTTGCAAAAGACGCGTTGTGTAGGTCCAAGTCCTGTGGCAGGGTGAGCACCACCAGCCCTGGCTGACGGCTCCCAACACCACTTCAGGTTGTACGGGTGCCCGGTCCCAGCTCTGCTCCCATTGTACGATTGCCCTCATCCATTTCCAACCAACACCGAGTGCTTTTCAGGGTGGGGACACTCGAGCCCTCATTACAACCCCGAGGCCAGTAACGAGGCAGGAGGAAAGCCACCTGAATCCCTGTATCGAGTATCTCTGGGGAAGAGGAGACGCAAAGCCCATTAAACATTGATCGGGGAGCGTGAGGCACCCAATCCAGCCCCAGGGTGCTCCGAAGGGTTTCGGGGCCACCTCGCTGCCCTCCCTGCAAGCGCAGCCCCCTCCCACACCCCTCTGCTGCCATGAAGCAAACCCCTAGGAAGACCAAATTTCTGGCGGCCAAGGCTCAGAGCACAAACTCCTTTATGCTTTCAACCTCGTTTTGTATTTTGAACAGCAGTGTCCAGAGGTGTAATGAGGAGATTTCCACACCACACACCAGCTGGCCGAGCAGCAGCCACCACCGGAGCCACCACAGCTCTCTGCTCCCCCCAGCCGCAGGGACCTCGTCGCCATTTCGCTAACGCTTTACACAAACCCAGCTCCGCGCCACGCCAGTGTTTTTGGGAACCCCCCTCAGCACGGCGCCCCAGTACTCACGAATTGGCGCCGCAGCTTGGTCCTGACGCGCTCGGCCTTCGTCTCCGCGGGGTGGACGGCGTAGCCCAAGGACCCCAGGTGGTTGTCGACCGACAGGCTCTTCCGCATGTAGAAGGAGCGGGTGCGGAAATGGCTGAACGGGGCCTCCTCCACCGCCGTGCGGAGCCGCGGCTGCAGCTGGGCATCCCCCGGGGGGTCCATGCAGTCGTCCTCCAGCCGCCAGGCCTCCCCTGGGGACAAAGGGACACGAGGTACCCTTCAGAGCTGCGGCCATCCCTGGGTTGTGCCCCCCTGCAGCCCAGGGAAGGGATGCAGGCGGAGATGTCCGCCCCAGGCCGCTCTGCACCACAGGGCTACGCGGGATGGGTGCTGCCACACACGGGGTTCAGAGGGCACGGCTCTGCCACGAGCCCCACAAGTCCTTGTCCCCAGTCTGCTGAGCTTCATTCAGCCTGCCCCACGCTGGTTTTGCCCAACCTTGTTCACCAGCACCCAACCTGTCAGTGCTCGGTCCCAAAGTCACCACAGCAGGAGTCAACCACGTACAGTGAGCACAGTGATCAGAGTCAGGGCCGTCAGGCTCTAGTCTAGTATAAATACTATTTCATAATTTCACATAAATTCATATAAACACTAATTCATAAACAGAGGACCAAAATCCCAACACTTAAAAACTTCCTATTATTTAATCCCAATAGGGTCATACATTTGAAAGGCTCACTTGTGAAGAACTCAAAAACCTCCATCACCCCGAATTCAACGCGACATTCCACATTAAGAGAGAATGTTCTAGTTTTATTTTCTAAAAGGAATGAAATTCCTGCAGTAGAACTGTAGTTGAATCCTACATACCTGCATCAAGCCCCTCTCCTGCAGGTATCCACATGCTTTGCAATCGGTAACTAAAATACATCTCCCTTTGTGAATAGGGAAACTGAGGCATCAGAAGCGTTGTAAGCTGGAAAAGGATTTACAGGCACTGACTGCACTTCATTGCAACGAAAGGGAAAACAGCAGAGCAGAGGTAAGCATCACCACAACACCCCTGCTCTGCTATTTTCCGAGCAGCTCGGATATTGTGTGCTTGTTGTTGCCAACCCCGTCCTCACAGCTGGCAACCAGCGAGCTTTCCCTGCTCCTCACCTCCCAGCCCAAATCACTTCTCGATAGCCATAATAAATTAGCAAGAACACCCCTCTTGCTCAGTTATAAAAACGGATCAATTATTGGCCACGGTGGTACTGAAGGGCACTTCACGGGGTTACCTTCACAACCCTCTCCCCTCCCACAGCCTGTTCCTGAGGCAAAATCGTTTTTATTTGCTTTCTGAAAAACCCAACATCTCCAGGCACAAATGATCGTGACCCTGCTAACCCAGGGCCGAGGAGCAAAACCCTTCTGGAGCTGAAAGCAGGTGAAGGCCCTAAGGTGGAAACCAGCCAGAAATCAGCCAGTGAAGCCTGGTTTGCCTCGCAAGGCTGCGGGATTCACGCGGAGAGAGAGACAGGCTGGACCGCTGCCCTGCTGCCCTCTGCTTTCACAGCCACCCCTGCTCCCCAAGCTCCTGCAGCTCTTCCAGGTGTGAAGGCATCTTCTGTGCGTGAGCCCTGCCCGGGGCAGGGACACACTGAGCAGAAACCAGCACAATCAAGAGGACAAGGGAGAAGAAGCGATCAGAGCTGCCAAAAAAAAAAAAGAGGCAACCCTGAGCACATCGCTACCTAGGAGCGTTTTTTTTTCCCTCTTTACCCCTGCTTTCACTTTAATAAGCCGCTGCTGCTCCTCTCCAAATGTCAACTCATCCAACACAGGAACTGCTGTTTGAAAGCTGTGATTATTCAACGCACAAACACGTCAATCGGCGCCCAGATCCCGGCTGCCAGCGCACGGCAGCAGCGCTCGGGGACGAGGCAGGAGGGCCGGGGCAGACACACCGCTGACAGCAGTGAAACCATGCACCAAGGAGCCGGCCCTGCTGCCCCAGCTCATCTCCTGGCCCCACAGCGAGCTGGGCACAGCCACCACTTGCTGCCCCGGAGCAAGGATGACCCAGGCTGCATGATGAACTCTGCCTGTGCAGAGCTGCTCATCCCAAAACCCAGCCTGACCCACCTCATCTCCTGCCCCACTCCTCCCCTGCTTGGGTGTAAGGGGTGCAGAGCCTCCCCCCTGGCACAGGGATGTGGCACAGAGGTCAGGACCTTACCCATCCCCAAAAGGTTTTGTACATGCTGAAGGAGCTCGCTCCTGATTTCTTCCAAGGAAGTAAATCAGTGATAAAGCCCAGAGCCTGGAAAGGTCGGAGGGAAAGACCAAGAGCAGAAGTCCCTGGAGGGGAACGAGCAAGCCCGCAGGCTGGAGGCCACCACCTACCCTCGTGATCTTCCACCCTCCCACCACCCAGCGCTACGCCTGGCAAATTGGGTACCTCCAAAAGACTTAAAGCATCTTCCTGGGCTTGGCACCTGTGACTGCTGCAAACCCTTTCTTCTTTCTGGACTTGAAGCATTAATCAGGAAGTCAGAAGGACGTGAGAGATGGAAGGGCAGCGAGAGCACAGGCCCTCCAGCCACGCCACGTGCTCAGCGCAGCCAGACCGAGCACTCAGCCCCGTGAGCAGCACAAGGCTTTCCCCAGCACTCGCAGCCCGGTGGAAGAAGGGCCTCGTGCTCCTCCACCACGTGCTGGTGGCACGTTGCCCAGGTCCCAGGCTGCAGCGTCAGAGCCCTCCCTTCACCAGGCAGAGCAGCAGCGGGGAGAGGAGCAGGGAGCCAGCACCGCCACCCTGCTGCGAGCACACCACGGGCACCTGGGCAAGCAAAGGTGTTTCAGGAGGTGGCCACGTGCCCGTGCTGAACTTCAACAGAGATGTAAGGTTGGCACGCCTCCAGCCTTTGTGGGCTGTGCAAAACACTCAGGAATTAGAGAAGCTGACTCCAGGGTTCTGCTCTGAGCTCAGGGTCCTGCTGCAGAAGGAAGAGAAGAGGGGGCAACAACAAAAAAATTCTCAGTGCCATCCCCAGGACTTCCCATGGGCACGGAATGAGGGGTGGCAAGCAAAAGGCAGCTCATTTCTCTGCTGCCAGCACGCGAGGCTCCCAGTGCAGTACCGAATCACTGGTTTGGGGTGAGGCAGGTGCTAGGGGAAGCCTCCCTTCCTCGCCAGCACACAGAGGGCTCCGTAAGCCTCTGGCCCATGCAGTGCTTTGCTCTCGTCCTCCTGTCCAGATGTCACGTTCCACTACTACACAGTCCCTGCAGGCAGAGAGATGCTGCACCCCTGCAAGTCAGCCCAGGGCTCTGGCATTTACCTAAGCCACCGTTTGTTGTTCCAAGACTAAATTTATCTGAGCCCTGCCTAATACAGGTAAATACTGCTAACTGCGATCCGGGCTGTGAGAGACTGATACAATAACCAGGCAATGCTGAGAAAAGCATCTTTTCTTCATGACAGCATGCTGATAGGCTTAATGAGTAGCTAATTAGCAGCTCCTGGGTGTCAAGGAGCCAGATAAAAAGCATGGGAGGTTCTGGATAGAAAACAACAACTCATTCATTCATCTACAGCTCTGGCTATGGAGGGAGCTTCCAAACTATTTCCATGCTCCTCTTCCTACCATCCTAGCCACCTTCCAGCCTCAAATAAAGCAACATCCCAGCCAGGTGTCCGTGCAATCAGCTCCCACCCCTACCCCGCTGCGCAGGGCAGGCTGTGCCCAGTTGCTCTGGGGTGGCTGTTTGACGTGCACAAAGCAAAGGAGGTGTTTGCAGCAGGAGGTGACGAGGTTTGCAGAGGGTCTGGCTCTTGCTGGGATGTCACCCCCCAGCCTCACGCCGACCTCCGCCTCCAGCACAGCTCTCTGGAAGCGCCAGCACACCAGCCAGAGACCTGCTGCAGGTGCTGCGCCCCTCGCAGTGGGTGCTCTTGCACACCCAAGGCTTGGTGGGCACGTCTTTTTGCCCCCTACCAGGACGCAGATCTCCACTGCGCATTCAGGTCTGTCCTTGCAAACCATGCCTTGGTGGCCCACGAGATTTGGAGGGCTCACAGAGTAGCACGAGCCCTCTGATTCTAAGCACAGAGTTACCTGCCATCACCTACCCACTCCCAAGTGTCCCCATCCCTCCTGTCCCCAGGAGGCAGCTACACGAGCTTTCCACAGGTCCTCCCTCCCACGCCCAGACCTGCTCTTTTGGGAGAATTAGTAGGACCAGGAAATGAAACGCAGTCTGCAGAGCTTTAAAATTAATCCAGGGCTTGGACAGCTGCTCTGCTTGGTAGAGCTTGCAGCAATCTGACAGCAAGGGGGTTAGATTTAAAATATTTTTTTTTTTAAAGAAATAAAAAAAAAATCAAATAGTGCTGGTAGACGGGAGCTATTTTATAAGGGTTTTATTTTGCACTGGATTGTCAGCCCTGGCTGGCGAGCCTTATCTCTGTTTCAGTGCTAATCGCTTTCCCCATCGTTCTTATGGCCCCAGCGTGATTCTGCTGGCACCAGAAGCGTGAAACACTTTGCCCATCAACAGTTTTGCCAATAAACTTGCTCAGAGCAGCTGGTCCAACCATATTAGTATTTCATCAGGATCAGCACAAGAGCAGAACACAGTAAAAAATCCTCTGTTGACACGAAGGCCAACACACGCTCCCAGGCTGGGAGCATCTGCCACAGCAAACCCCCACTGCGGGCCAGGACAACGGCACAGCCACGCGGTGCCACCCAGCCTCTGCTCCCCATGGGGACAGCAACGGGCACCCTGAAGCCACTTGATGCTGCAGAAGGAAGGCACCTGGGTCTGTTGGGGAGGCCGGAGGAACCCGGAGCAGCAGTTCACATGTGGCCAGGAGACCCAGCTCTGATGCTCCGAGCATCACCTCCGAGCCAAGGGCTCTTGCAGCCCCATGCGGCTTTTTCATCGGTGTAATAAAAGGTGGGAAGGTTTAAATAACAGGCTCAAAGAAAGCCTCAGAAGTGGATAAAAAAAAAAAATAAATCTCACCAAGAACATTTGTTTTTGAGGCAGCATAAACCCCCTACAGACAGGGATTGGATTTACCTTGCTGTTCGCACCCCTGCAGAACAAGGACACGTTGGGTAAGATTTTGCTGGCCCCCAGGCAGAACGGGCACAAAGCTCTCCCTGGCACTCACCGGCAGATGGGACCGTGCAGCCCTTCTGGCCATCAGAGGCCGAGTGCTTCTTGTAGGACTTCTGCTCCGGCATCTCCTCCCTATATGCCGTGGAGTCAAGGAGGGGAAGCCTGCTCAGGACCGGGGACTGCGGGATGCTGGGCAGCGTCCGGGACTTCCCCAGGAGCGGTCTCTGCAGCTTTCTGTCCAGCGACCTGCAGGGGAGAAAACAAAGGGTACGTGCGTTGCAGCAGGTGGAAAACCAGGACCTTCAAACCAGGACCTTCAAACCAGGACCTTCCCTGCAGGACACGTCCGTAACGCGCGGTACGGCCGCTGGACTGACAGCACGCGGTTCCTCCCAGTGTGCACAGCCGCTGCTATTTCAGCAAAGCCTTCCCCAGTGGGAATTTCTTCCCCAAATTCCCTCCCCAGTGCATTCTAAATAGGATTTGTATCTTCAGCTGCGAGCCACAATCAGCGCTCTGACCATTTAGCACCTCCAACCTAGCCCACCTCAAAACTCACAGTCAGAAGTAAGTAAATAAACCGGAGGGTTCAGGGCTGGAACAATACAAAAAGCTTTTAAGGGAATAAAACCTCCACAGGGCACTGAGTATCATCCAAGCCAGCTGATGCTTTTTGTGGTAGAGAAGCGTTTCCTCCAAAAACCCAGAATAAATCAGTTTTAGGGGGGTGGAGAGAGCCAGGGAGCAGCTCCCTGTTCGCTGAGCTCCATCCCGCAGCATCCCCCAGGGGACAGTCCCCAAGTCCCCAGCTGCTGTCCTTGGGGACAGTGCTGGCCCAGGCCACGCTGCTGAGGTCCCACCCAGGGGTGGCAGGGTCTCACCCACGGCCACCCAGCCCTGTCCCCTCCCTGTCACACCGCACACACCCCGCTGGGCTCCCCGCACACCCAAGGGGCTCGGCGAAAGGCTCCTCCGTGCCAAAGGCTCTTCCCAAACCCCATGCTGAATGAGAAGGAACTGTGAATTTCCACCTGAAATTCAGCTCTCAGCCTGGTGGTACCCATTTGTTCTTGCGCCAATATTAACCTTTAGCTTAAATAATTATTTTCCCTCTCCGGTGCTCGCTCCCACGATTAATTTCCATCATTCAGCCCTCACATCCCCTTTTTTCCTGCGTTTTTCCAAGCTGATTAGGAGGCTCTCCCAGTCTCTTCTTACAGAATGAACTTCCTCCCCTGTGGTTGCTCCCACAGCCCTCCTCTGTGCTCCCTGAGCACCACAAGGACTGGGGCCGAGGTCCTGGTGCAGACCGTGTGTCCAGCACCCCGCCTTCCTGCAGCGCTGAATTTCTCCCATTTCCCCCGAGCGACTCCTCAAGGTGACGCAGGGAGAGCCGATCGTGCGAACGCTCCCGACCCGCGGCGGCTGCCTGTCACCGCTCCATTTGTTATGATGATCGTTTTTCACTGCCCTTACAAACGTGGCAGCGGTGCCTGCCTGCTGTCAGCATCGGATGTGATTCACGGGCAAGCAGCGATGGCCTCAACCCTTCGGTGACCCTGTGATGGAGCCAGGCAAGGCGCCGAGCTGCAACCACCTCCTGCAGGACGCACAGAAGGCAGGGGCCTCGTACCAGGCCTGTATGGGGGCACATCAGGAGGTTTACAGAGCGGTGGCGTTGGTTGGATTCATCCTGGATCCATAGGCAATGCTGCCCGGCCCCACAGAGCGGTCACTGAGCGCTGAGGGTTTGGGGACGGCCGCAGGGACGGCACCGCTGGGGCTGTGGAGCGGCACCGTGCCAGCCCTCCGACCCCAACCCTTCCCCGTGCTTCCCCTGCACCCACGTGGAAGCGAGCTACGCCGGGAGAGGCGAGAATAGAAGCAGCACCCCGAGCTGTTCCTATTTCAGTAAAACCTCCGCCGCTCCCACGGTAACACATCGCGCTGGCACAAGACAAAAGGGATGCAACTCCGCACGCTGCTGCGCCGCAGCAACGAGCCCTGGGCTCTGTCCGAGTTCAAAACATTTCCTTTTTTTTTCCTGGCATGTAAATCTCCGTGCTTTTATAAACGCACCTGGGAAGAGCTCCATCGACTGCAGAGCGGCATTAGCATTTTAAATGCTAACAAGACTTTGTGCCCACATCGCCACTCGCCCAGACTGCACGAGGGTAAAAAGGGAAGAATCCATGCCCTTGGAGGAGATATTTTTAAGCTGCGTAGCTGAAGACAATGATTTATATCGGAAAGAGCAGAGACTCCAGCAGCAGCCAGAAACCTGTTTCTCTCTGAAATCTGACTTGAATTCCCAAGCACAGCCCAGCTCCGAGCACCTTCCACCCCCGGCACGGCCTCGGCAGCAGCTGCCAGCCGGGCCCCGACGCCTTCCCTGCCACCGGGAAGTCACGTTGCACCGACGGATGCTTCCCGAGCAGGCTCCAGAGCTTTGTGTTATCAAGGATGCCACATCCCATTAGCGAAGATCCCTGACGGGAATGTAAAGCTCAATTAGAAAAGCCATAATCAATGCTGTTGCAGCCTATAAATAGCAGCTGTTTGGTGTTTTGGTAGGAAGGAGGGCACGTACTCGAGTCCTGACAAGGGTGGAAAAATCCTGCTGGCTGCACGTGAAAGCTGAGGCAGGAGCCCGGTGATGGCCCCATCGCTCCCAGCCCTGTGGCCAGATGGGGAAATGTGACAACAGGCACCAGGGCCAGGTCCCTGTCACCCCCCCGGGACAGCCACAGGGCACAAGGGAGTGGCACCAGGGTGGGCACAAGCACCAACTGCCCCAGCTTCACCCTCCCCACCTGAGCCACAGCCCACGGCACCCATGGGTGCAGGAGCTGCTTCCCCCAGGCTTTTCCTGAAAGCAAACCAGCCAGCAAGAGCAGCCGCTGTGACGAGAAAAAAGAGGCAGAGCACATCTCAAATCGGGGCTGCAGCCAGTGCCCCCCTCCCGGCGATGTCCTTACTGGTGGTGTCCTTACTGGGTGGCTTCTCCGGGTGCTGGAACTGCAGGGAGGGAGAGCGAAAGGGCTGAGCAGAGAGAAAGGGGCAGAAAGCAGGCTAATAAAAGTCACCCAGGGAAAGCCAGAAGCCTGCAAGCAGCACCTGCTTACCCCCCGACCTCTCCTCCCTGTTTGTTTTGGTGTGGGAAAAGCCACTTCCCAGCCTGACCCGGTTTATTTTCATTTTGAAAGAGAGAACAGAGTGCCTCTGCCTCACCCAGGGAAAGGATGGAGAAATCACCACAGCAGAAAGCCAGCGACATAACAGAGAAAACAAACAGGAGGAAAATAACCCCAAGCCACTGCTCACACGATCCCAAATCCCAGTGAACGTCACCGACTCACAGGTCACCTCCAGCACAGCTCCTGGAAGCGTTTGAGGACGGCGACGCTCCAAAGCCCCCCTGGCCACAGCTCCCAACCCCAGCAGCTCACGGGCGAAACCCACGAGCTCATTCTCCTCCTCCCAGGGCGCAGAGTCTGACAGTCCCCAAAAACTGGGGACACGAGGACGAGAGCAGGGCACGGAGCAGGGCTGGAGGTGCTGCTTTTCAGCGACTCCCCTGCATGCTCTGTGTCAATCCATTCCCTAAATCTGTCATGAAATAGCTTACGAAGCTGAAGGTTTGGGGGAGAACGGTGAGATGAAGCACAGGGGTGAGCCCAGACGAGGGACGGGGACCAGGAGAGCCCAGCTATGGCACGGGGCCCCCAAATCACACCCGTGCAGCGGCGCCTGCTCCTGCTGCACCGGCGCTGCTCAGGCAGCTCCTCCAGCGAGGTGTCACTTAGCAACCCGGCCTCAAAAACCAGCACGGGTTCCAGCTGGATCCAGGAAAGCCAGAGATGCTGCGAGCTGGGAGGAGCAGTCCCCCACCACGATCCTATGCTGGGAGAAACCCAAACCCCTGCAAGCTGCTCCAGGGAAGGGTGCCAGGCACGCGGGTAGCCTCGGAAACCGAAGCCGTAGGAATCGGGAGCAGCGCAGCCTTCACGGGGCATCGGCGTGCTTGGAGAATCACCCGAGTTTGCCCTGAAAACCTCGGCTGTTCTCAGCAGCCCCGTGAGTCACTGCTGCTTTTCCAGTGACCCTGCGAATCACGAAGCCAGCACGGATGGCTGAGAAATCCACCCTTCACGCTCAGGAGCACCCACCCCGAGCCGACCTTCTGCTCTTGCCCCACGCTCAGGCCAAGCTCCCCAGCCGTCAGCTGCAGCCCCACACCCCACCAGATCCCCCCCGGCACATCACACGGAGCCACCGAGACCCCCCAGCACCGCACAGGGCACGGCAGACCCCTGCCACCCACCCCACGCCGCTCCCCACCACCCCCCAAGGCACCGCTGCCACCTGCCCCCCGCTCCCGAGAGCATCCCTGGAGCAAGAGGAGCTCGGGGGGGCCCGGGGAGGCAGGGGGCACGGCAGGGACCACGCACCGTACCCGGTGACATCCTTCGGCTGTTTGGGACCAGCCCGGAGGCAGCAGCAAGCCCTTCTGCTGCCTGAGCCGGGCGCAGTTGGAGGAGCTGAGCCACGCGGCATCGCTCTCTTCCCAATTCCAGCCAAGCCTCCGCAAAGCTGCCTTCACGCTGCTAAAAGGTAACAAGGGCTGCGGAGCGGAGGATGAGAGCTGAAAACAGAGCAGCTTTTATCTGGCTGCGAAGCAGTTTCAAAGCAAAACAGAAAACCAAAACAGTATTCAGCTTACAAGTTCAGGAAGGGGGAAAAAAAAAGAAAGGAAAAAAAAAAAAAAAACATGCGAAGCTATAAAAATACCTTTCCCAAGCTCAGCTGCGAGCTGGTAAATATCATGATTTCTACCAGCTGGTTTGCAAAAGCTTCCTCTCCTGCTGTCTCTCCGGAGTGAAGAGCATCGCTCCGGCAGGAGCCATCGCCCAGGCACGGCACAGAGCAGCCCGGTGCTGGGGGCACAGCCACCACCACCGCTGCCAACGTCTCCGTTCGGATGGGTACCAAGGACCTCGAGGGTCCTGGGAGGTGCAGGAGCAGAGCTCGCACACCCCGTGTGCCCCAAAACGCCAGGAGGAGCTCAGGGAAATGCTTTGGGAGAGCTGGAGGAAGAGCATTCAGTGCCTCTTGCCTCCTCCAAGCCCAGCCACGCACCAGAAGTGGCCCACCAAAAAAAAAACACCACGAATTCCCAAATTGCCCAGAAAAAGGCCAGAAGTGCTGGGTGATCAAACAGCGCAACCACAAGAGGGGACCGCGGG